CGCGAGAACAGACTTGCGGATGCAGCAGGGGAAGAAGAAGGTGGAACGAACTGAAAACGTAGCTTTGACGTGTTTCTACTGCGGAGAAGGGCGCGACAGAGGGTGAGAGGGTGGGATGGTATCGCCGACCTGATGGGCGTGAGTCTGAGCAAGCCCCGGGAGCGGGGGATGGACAGGGAGGCCTGGCGTGCAGCGGTCCATGGGGTCGCAGAGTGGGACACGGCTGAGCGACTTGACTCACTCACTCACGTCATATGCAGACGCGTCTCCTGGAGCATCCGTGGCCATTCTGTGGTCGTGGAACAGCCAACACCTGGAAGCCCTGAGAACTCGGGGTCTCAGAGCATTGAAGCTGGGCCTTCTCCCACCCGGATTCTCTCCACGTAGCAGTGACATGAGCCACATCCGCTTCCTTACTCTCCAAGGCAGTCTGAGTCAGGCCCTTTCTTGAACCCCAATGTGTCCTAACAGAATGTGGCAGGTGGAAGTAAGGGTGATGTAAGTTACAGGCTGAGACTGTCTGCAAACAGGACTGCAGAGATGTGCGGGGGAGGGCCCCGGGACAGAGCCTGCCTGTGAAATTAGCAGCCCTTGTTATTAAACGGCTGCAAAACAACGACCTAAACTGTTTTCTGCTATGACCCAGGACTCAGAAAATGCCCACCAAGGCTCTCACATCAGGGAGCTTTTAGGAAAACTTCAAGACATTGGAGTCCCTGGCCCTGTTTTACAGCCCTCAATAAAGTACCACAAGAAAAAGACACCCTAATACAGTTTTTTGTGAGAGCTTTCCTAATATATTTTCAAATCTAGAAAATACTGCCACCCAAGGGACCTATCCCCTGAAGCAATGAGCTTTTTGCTTCAGGAAAAGGAAGAGGGGGTCGAAATTTTAGTTAGAAAAAGGAAGCCAGTATTAATTGTCTCTAGAGAGCAACGTCTCAAAAGCCAGACGTTATGGAGAAAGAAAAGAATTTTGAAATCCCCTGCAGTCCCATTTCATGTCAAGAACCAGGCGTGGATAACTTAAGTTTGGAGTTTTCTCTAAGCCAAGGGAAGTGATGATGCAGTTTCGATATAAAAGAAAGTTCCTGTCACACAAGAAAGTGGAAAAGCCTGGCCACCTGACCCCAGTGGGCCATAGGGAGGAGGCAATAAAAAGTAGAATGAGGACCTCAGAGGCAAATGATGAACCTCTTGACCTGAGGCGTTTCTGCTGAATCTCAGAAACTTCAGAGAGTGCAGGGGAGAATAGCTAAGGTGAAGAACGTGCTTTCCCTGAAGGCGGCTGCAAGCCTCTGGGGGAAGTTATGTGTTCATCCTGATCACAGCTGCTGCTGCTGAATCACTGCAGTCGTGTCCGACTCTGTGTGACCCCATGGACTGCAGCCCACCAGGCTCCCCGTCCCTGGGATTCTCCAGGCAAGAACACTGGAGTGGGTTGCCATTTCCTTCTCCAATGCAGGAAAGTGAAAAGTGAAAGTGAAGTCGCTCAGTCGTGTCTGACTCTTAGCGACCCCATGGACTGCAGCCCACCAGGCTCCTCCGTCCATGGGATTCTCCAGGCAAGAGTACTGGAGTGGGGTGCCATTGCCTTCACAATGATGCACAGCAGTGGGGTAAAGAACTAGAGATTGGCATACAGTTGTGCAGGTTGAGCACTGCACAAGAAAACCTGCCTCTATGGGGCACCACACATTCCACAGACATCATAGATTTGCACATTCATTATGGCAGTTTTAGAGCATATGGCAGCAATGTGTTCTAAGAAAATCAGTGTGAAAATGTTCCACCACTGAAAGGAAAGTGTCTTAAGGAAGACAGGTTTTGTTTTTCTTTTTTCCTAATTTTCACAGGATGCCATGTGAGAGGCATAACCAAGGCTTAACCTTGCCTTTCTCCTGCCGCTGAAAAAAATGTAAACCTCTTTCACTCCAGAGCCTTTATGGGAGGAGCTAGGAGAGATGGACTGTATTTGAAAGATTCTCCCCAAAGTAGCTGAGTTAACGCGATGAGAGAGTTAAAGCAGGAAGAGGTGAAAATGTCTCTTATTCACAAAGGCACAATAAGTTTTTTGTGCCCTGTTACCCAACAAGAGAAATGTCAACAACCTTAGATATGTGGATGATACCATTGTAATGACAAAAAGCAAAGAGGAACTAAAGAGCCTCTTGATGAAGGTGAAGGAGGACAGTGAAGACGCTAGATTAAATCTCAACATTCAAAAAGCTAAGATCATGGCCTCTGGTCCCATCTCATGGCAAATAGATGGGGGGAAAGTGGAAAGAGTGACAGATTTTATTTTCTTGGGCTCCAAAATCACTGTGGACGGTGGCTGCAGCAACAAAACTAAAAGATGATTGCTTCTTGGAAAGAGGACCATTACAAACCTAGACAGCATATTATAAAGCGGAGACATCACTTTGCTGACAGAGGTCCATATAGTCAGAGCTCTGGTTTTTCCAGTAGTCATGTACGGATGTGAGAGTTGGACTATAAAGAAGGCTGAGCAGCAAAGAATTGATGCTTTTGAACTGTGGTGTTGGAGAAGACTCTTGAGAGTCCCTTGGACTGCAAGCAGATCCAACCAGTCCATCCTAAAGGAGATCAGTCCTGGGTGTTCATTGGAAGGACTGATGCTGAAGCTGAAGTGCCAATACTTTGGCCAAGTGATGTGAAAAGCAGACTTGTTGGAAAAGACCCAGGACTGAACCCAGGTCTCCCACGTTGCAGGCCTGTTCTTTACCATCTGAGCCCCCAGGGAAGCCGATAGGAGCCTCTGATTTGTAGTCAAAGTGGACAGAAGTTGTGGGTGCCCTGGGCTGCTCCTACTGGTAACAGGCACCTGAAGTGGGGCGCGAGCAGTGTTCTGGGACTGAGTCCTCCACCTGTGGCCTCCGACGCTGCGTCTGCAAGCAGTGTCAGAGTTGAGGTAAACTGGAGGACGCCCGGCTGGTGTTGCAGAGGATTGCTTGTTGTCACTTCGGCGAGCAGAAGCGCCAGAAGTGGAGCGTTTCGGGCGAGCAGTAAAGGAGACACAAGGACACGCGCACAGCGAGGGAAAACTGCGTGTGTTTTATCTACAAAGCTTCGTTCCCAGAGATTCTGACCCGTCAGGACCAGGGTGAGGTCTGAGAACTTGTGCTTCTGGTAAGTTTCTCAGTGCCCTTGAGGGGGGTGGGCCACTTGTTGAGATACCTGCTCTGGTCTCACGGCACCCTCTCCCAGGCCTCTCTTCATCAATTACAACCAACCCGGCCTTCCCTGGGGGCTTGGCTGGTAAAGCTTCTGCCTGCAATGCAGGAGTCCCGAGTTCGACCCCTGGGTTGAGAAGATCTGGAGAAGGGAATGGCCACCCATTCCAGTATTCGTGCTTGGAGAACGCCATGGGCAGAAGAGCCTGGCAGGCTATAGTCCAGGGGGCCACCAAGAGTCGGACACAACTGAGCAACTAACACACTCAGATCAAAAATAGTGAAGGTACGACTGTACACAGCCACAGGCAATGAGTGTATCTATGGGTCCCTCCTATTCCCAACGCATATCCCTACCTGAAATTTGCTAAAAGACAGACATCTTTGGCTTTCAAGAACTGTGTTCAGATGGGTTTCTGGCTATGGTTTCTAACTTGCAGAATTGAAAGAAAGCAGTTAGACTGAACGCTGCCCAATTTTAAGACGCTGTGTAACCTCTCTGATCTCACAGCTCTGCGGTGCAAGCCACATTTGGTTCTTCTGTGAATGGTTCCACCTCAGTCTCCCTGCACCAGGCCAGAGCTGTTTGAGAGCAGAAACCACATTTTATTCATCTGTGCATCTCTTCCAAGCTCATACTCAGTTCCCTTTCTAGAAACAAACATGAAGTTTTGCATAGTTTAGATGTAACTGGAATCATTTTTTAGAAGATATTAGATGAGTCCACTTTCCACTCTCACATGAGTGATGTTCTGTCATCATTAAAGCCCAGTGTATTGCCTAGGAAAAAGGAAGGCAGATTAAAAGAAATACAATTTGTGGAAGAAGATGTTGCTTGCTGATGCCGCCCTGGGGAGACAGATGAAGCAGATAAACCTTCTGATTCTAGGAGGAAGCATGAGGCAGAGAAAGCTAAGGTGAGAGGGGATATGCCTCTGGGGTCAGATGGAGAAAGGTCACAGCAGAAAGGCAGAAGCAGAGGGACTTGTTCTGTCTGGGACTCAGAGAGGAGACCACCTTCAGGGAACTCTTTTAAAAAAAAAAAGAGAATGGCAAAGGAAGATAAAGATAGACACAGTGGAAAGCCATGAGGATGCTGAGAGTCAGCTGGGAGTCAGCTCGTGTGCTGGGGAGGGCGTCCAAACGCTGCTGTGTGGTCCTGCTGAGGACCTCCTGACCGGAGCAGCCTGCCCTGGCCAGGTGTCATAGTGACCATGTGCATGAGTTATCTTATGACAGGGAACAAGCCACCCCCAACCTGGAGAATTCGGGAAAGTCCAAAAGGAGACCCCAGTCCATACGTCCTACCTACCTCCCAGAATCTTCTGGCAAGAATCCATCCTGGCTGAGCCGGGTGTGCACCACCAGGACGGACCCCGAGTCACAGTAATTGGCTGGAGACAACCTGGAAACCAACCCATCACCATAAACCAGAGGCCACGAGCCACACGGCAGAGCCGTTCTCCTGGTTCGCTGGCTCTGCTTGCCTCCCAGGCACCGCTGCTCAATCAGGTCTCTCGATGTGTCAGCGCGTGTATCATTTCTGAGTGTTGGACAAGAGCCCACTCTCCGGCCCTCTCGCATCAGTCCCAGAAGTGGAAAGGTGCAGGAGGGAGGAGGACAGTGGGAACACCATGGATCGCTCTGGGGGCCCGTGGGGGGCGGGAGTGGTCCTGGGGCAGAGGCTGGATGGTGATGGAGATCCAAAGGACCCCCAGGATGAAAAAGGGTGGCTGAGAGCCAGGGGACCTGCAGCTCTGGTGAGCACCTAGGTAAGGGAGAAACCCTGGACCCCTACAGGCCAGCATGGAACAAGTCATGCTGACTGCGGGGTCAGCGGCTTTACCAGAAGGGTCCCCGGGGGATGGGCAGGACACCGCCTCAAAGGCTAGAGCGGACCGGGGGATGGCACAGGACCAGCGTGGGAACACCACCCTCCTTACATCGCAGAGGACGCGGGAGCTTCCCTTCCCACTGGGGGAAACAGAGCAAGACGCTGTGGTCCAGTCCATCCCCGCCACCACCTCCCCCACTTCCTCCGCCCGCCTCCTGCCCCTGGAGAAGTTTAGTCAAAGTGTCGGTTTAATCAGATAAATGAGAACATGCAAAAAGGAAGGAAAGCAGTCAAAGGAAACCTGTACTCTTAAGCATAGTCAAGGACTTTTGGTTCCTTCTCAAGAGCTGTAGATAATATTCTGAGCCATACCCCGTGAGCTGTCTTAGAGACACTGAAGCCCCACCAGACGGAGTTAACTCCATGATGACCAGATGGTAGCCTTGACCTAAGTTGCCACAATTCTGAGAACTGGCCTCAAAGAAACAGAAAGAAACCAACCTTGCAGCTGAAGATTAACTGTACCCGAAACAAGCAAGATGATGCTGGTCAGACCACTGCTGACCAATCTGAAGATGACTGTCAGAGCTGACTGTGTGTTTCTGCACGTAACCCTCTGCCTCTGTCTATGAAAGCTCTCACCCGCCTCGTTGCCAGTGGGGGGAGTCAGCCTTTGGACAGACGTCCACCCTCTCTCCACCCCCCAGTTGCCAACCTCTGAAGTAAAAGCAAGCTTTCCTGTCCACCAGCCTGGCCTGTTTATTGGCTTTTGGGGGATCGAGCAGCCAAACCCCACCCCTTTTGCTAACACCAGGAACCATCCTGTGGCTATCTAAGAGGAGTCCCGAGAGGAAACAGGAATCTTTTTTTTTTTAATCTAATTTTTTTTTCATTTTTTTTTTTTAGTTGGAGGCTAATTAGTTTACAGTATTGTAGTGATTTTTGCCATACATTGACATGAATCAGCCATGGATCCACATGTGTTCCCCATCCTGAAACCCCCTCCCACCTCCCTCCCCATCCCATCCCTCTGGGTCTTCCCAGTGCACCAGCCCTGAGCACTTGTCTCATGCATCCAACCTGGGCTGGTGATCAGGAAACAGGAATCTTGAATTTGACTATTTATCAAAAAGATGCTAACCAAATTTTAAAAAGACTGTTTACCGTTTTTATTGGGACATAGTTGTTTTACAGTGTTGAACAACGAAGTGAATCAGCTCTATGTGTACATGTAGCCCTTCCTTCTTGGACCTCCCTCCCACCCACCCTCACCCCATTCATCGAGGTCACCACGGAACACCACGCCGAGTCCCTTGCGATAGAGCAGGTTCCCACTAGCTGTCTATTTCACACACGGCAGTGGACATTAAGCCAGCAGAGACTGAAATACCATCAGTGCACAAATTTTAGTCTTCTTCCCACCTTCAGTGGGAATGAGAGGAGACAATGCTAATAGTTTCTTCCCCACATCCACATGTTGATTAAAAATGTGTCCTTGAAACTCAACAAAAATTTGGCAGATGGGGCAGGATTTTGGTGTTGCATTCATTTTGAGGTTTTTTGTTTGTTTCTTCATTTTGTAAAATCCTAGTTTATTCAAGCTAAAGTTTCTTCCACTGTAAAATAGCAGAAAATAGAGCTACTGGGAAGAGCCTAGAAACAGTACCCTGGCCACTGGGTGCTGCAAGAGTGGATGGATAGTTAATGAGGAAGATGACGCGCTCCAAAAGTTTCCATACTCTTTGCTTCAAAACTCATCTCTCCGCGCCCCCCCCAACCCCGGCATTCATTTGATGAAAATGAATTGTCCCTTCCAAGGATACACATAAAGATAGAATGCTAATGATCACGATACCTAGCACATCAGCTTACCCTGATATTTATTTGATCACCCGATGTGCTAATTAGATTTGAAGAAAGATATCATGAAAATTATATCATGTACTTGGTGGATTTGAAGAAGGGACCACAGATGGGAGCTCCTAGGAATATCAATGGAAATGACAAGGGCTGGGGGTAGTCTTTCTTTGCAGCAACCTCTATTGTGTGGAGAGCAAGGCTACCTGTTCACTGTCAGGAATGTGCTGGGAGCAGGGATGAGCTCATTTGGAGGCAAGCTTGCCTTTTATTTCTGAGTTGGAAGGTTGGCCTCTTTTACTCCTTCTCCATATTCCAGTCTTGAAAGACATTTGAAGAACATGTAGTACAAAACCCTCCAATCTTAGATGAAGAGTCACGATGGTAAAATAATTTATATAACCTTAATAAGTTTCAAGTCTCCCACATCAGGAAGTTTTGCCTTTGCTGCAAATCCTTCTGAATGCAGGTGACAAAGCACACTGTCAAAGCGGGTGTGGGGGTTGGGGGGGCGCTTATTGGTCCAGAAAAGTAAAGTCCAGGGGTGATTTCAGATGTGGCTGAATTCAAATGCTCAACTCAGTGTGTGCCAGGAGGACATTTTCCACCACCTCTCGGTTTCCCCTTCTGCTATTTGTAGCTTTTCCATCGTGTCAGAGATGGCCACCGACACCTCCAGGCAGAGGGTCCACAGCTTAGGAAGTGCAGGGGGAAGAGAGAGCTCCCTTCCTGACTCGAGATTCTGGTTCCCCTGCCCTTGCTCCGCAGTCTTTGTGGTTAAGAGTTTTTCTCATAGACAAGGCCTGCTCCTGGAGTGTAAGACAGCCACACCCTAAGCTCAGAGACTGAAAGGAAGAGAAAGAATGGCTTCCCAAGGGAAAATCAGAATACTATTACCAAAAGGAGGAGGGATGAATTTCTGTGATGGCATCCTTCCGGGCTCTGGGGTCCAGGTACGCCTGTGACACCAGACAGGAGCCTTGTATTAGCCTCAACTGAAAGAAAGGTTAGTTTCTTTACCCTTATAAGAGGGGAAGATTGGCCTTCTTTTCATGGAGAACAGACACCTCCAACAATGTTGGCTCCAGAAGGTGATGTCAGGAAGGACACTGGCAGGCAATGGAGGGCTCACTCGGGCACAGAGGATCCGAGAGAGTTTAGGTGTGGCTGCTGTCATTCAGTCACCCCGTCGTGTCCGACTCTCTGAGGCCCCGCGGGCTGCAGCTCGCCAGGCTGCCTGTCCTGCACCATCTCCCGGAGTTTGCTCAGACTTGGGTCCACTGAGTCAATGGTGCCGTCCAACCATCTCAAAGGGATATTTACGAAAGCAAGGTCAGAGTGTAGTGGAGCCACGGGGCCGGGGCAGCAGCTGGGGGTAGCAACATCTGGGCTCCCTGGCGCCTCTGGGCCCAAAGGGGCGAGGGGAGCGGGTGGTCCTCAGACCTAGAGCACAGTGGACCGGAGGGGGCGGCCGGGCTGAGGCTGAGACCTTCACGAGGGAGCTGGGGAAGCAACCTCCCAGAACGCCTCGCCCTCCACTGTTCCGCAGAAGGCCTCTGTGGACAGCCTACCGGGGGGCCGGAGGCAGTCTCCTTACGGTTCACAAGGTCAGCCTCTCAGGGTGTGGAGCCGGACAGAGATCAAGAAGGCAGTGTTCCGTTTCCAGTTATATTTACACGCTGTTCATGGGCCATGGGATGTCTGACTGTGCGCCCTTCTCTGACACCCTATACTGCCTCACTGCCTGCTGGACATTTTTCATAAAAACCCTTGGAGACACACGGGATTGCAAATATACATGGCAGCAACAGCGATGAGGTCCACTGTTGTTTTACCTTGGTTTAGGATCTTAAGACTTGTCCTTCCTTTGCTCACTAGCTTTGTGACCTTGAACAAATCAGGTCATCTCTCAGAGACAGAGTTTCCCCATCTTTAACATGAAGATATTTTCCTCGCGCATCTGATGGTATTTGTAATTTGATACAAATGAAATATTAGATATAAAAGTGTTTCGGGAATGACAAAGGACTAATTTCACATTGATCATTTCAACCTTTGTATATAAGCATAGGAAATACGATGTTTTATTTATGGCTGTGCATTTTTGTAATTCTTACATCAGGAAAAGTTCTAAAGCCTTTTCGAGTCACTATGTGGCAGTATATTTTAACCATGGGAAAGTTGAAATGAATTAATGAGAAATTAACCTCCAGTTTACTTCAGGATTGCATTGAGGAAATGATTTACTGTAATTCTGCTTATTGCTGGGGGCAGAATAGAAAAGGTTAATCAAGTTTTCTGCCTGACAGTGAGTCACTGTGCTTATTATCTTTTTATGAGTAGGCAAAAGCACAAAACATCCATGTGTCCCGGTGAGTTATGCAAGCCCTTTAAAAGTTCTGCATCAGCCATGGGTCTTCCTGCTATCTCGCCCCTGCAGTCTGCTGAGAATATTTTCCATCAAATAACTAGGCTTATCACAATTCATTTCTGCACTGTTGCATTCTAGGATGACTTCCTGATCTTCAAACCCCAGATCGGAAGCTCTGGTTTGATAAAAACTGCTTTAGAGCAGGGCTTCCCAGGTGGCGTTCATGGTAAAGAACCCTGCCTAATACAGGAAACCTAAGAGACAGGAGTTCAATCACTGGATCAGGAAGGTCCCCTGGAGGAGGAAATGGCAACCCACTCTAGTATTCTTGCCTGGAGAATCCCATGGACAGAGGAGCCTGGTGGGTTATGGTCCATGGGGTCGCAAAGACTGAAGCAATTTAGCACACACCTTAGAGACAATGGAGACACTCCCCTCAGTCCCTCTTAACTCCCCCTTTCCCTCAAGCCCCAGCCTTCTGAATATTCTGGCTCCTAAGACTCTTTCCATCAGAGTCTCTTACTGTTCCAGCTTTGTGAGAGCTCAGCAATGGTAACTCTTAGAGTGCACTGAGAGTTGAGAACTCCACATCTGCTATTTTACTTAATCTCCCCAACAATCACATGAAGCAGATGTTCTTATCCCCATTGTCCATGAAACGACTGAAGCTTAGAGAGGTTTAAAGCAGTAGAATTTGAATCCAAATGTCTGAGTCCAACGCTCATGACCCTAATCTCCTTACTGTATAGGCTATGTGTTTCCATGTGGTTCTTTCTCCCAATAAACCCTGACTGATCCTCACTGAGGAACAGGTCTCACTTGGGTCAAGATGCAGAGGGAATTTCATTCCTCTCCCTTCAGGAGACACTGATGTGCCCGTTGCAGATATACTGCAGACACTTCTCTGGGAGAGGACTGCCACTCTTCCCTTGAGGACCCCGTGTTAGCCGCTGAGAAGGGGACGGCTGTACTGAGTCACTGTTCTCTGTCAGCACTGTGAAGTCTGAATTCTAACTATTATGATATCACCAA